GGAATGCGCAGCAGAGCTCAGCGCAGCATAGCTGATCACCGAATAACTCCGAATAGCACATACTAGCACTGTTTAGGACAGCATCACAATGAATGGCACCGCCGCCACATCAGAGCGCAGCAAAGGACAGAAGACGGCCGAATAACACCAAATGGGACAGCTTAGATCTGCTTCGGACAGCTTGTGTAATCAAAAGATTAGTAGAAAGCTCAGAGAATTTATTGAAGATTTAGCAGACGGCTTAGAGGGTTGATCGGTGTTGATCAGTTGCATATACACATTTGTTGTCTTTTCCACTTTATTTTAATTTTGTTTGATTTAGGTTAGAAGGTAGCTGCATTGTGATTTGTATTTGGCATGATGCGTTGCGGTCCAGTGAAATTTTTTATTTGCATTTATTTGTAAGGAATTCTGAAGAAATTGTTATCGGTCCTTAACCTTATGGAATAATATAAAGTTTTAACCTCTTTGTATCACTTTTTTTGAAACTCCTTTCCTAATTAGTATCAATAGGTGTCATTTGCTTCACTAGAATTTTAAAAATTGTTAGTGCCTCATTCATCTAATACTGAAGTCGGATTCAGTGTCACGATATTATATGGTATCACTGCTGAATTTCTATCAAAAGATTATATTGTAATCGCAAGTATCACTACGTAAATGAATTATGATTCATCGCGATATCGTAGGCTAATTTTCATCCAAAAACTGACATTTTACTCACGATAGTCAGTAGTTAAATATATAAATACATTTTCTGTAAATACAAAATCTTTGGTGATTCTGGCGTTTTTAGCTTACTACGTATTTTATTGTACTAACGTTATTTTAATAAATTTCCCCACCATATATCTATTACATACACTCTCACCTGAGGAATACTAATTGAAATACCTCTGGCTAGCAACTAGGTAATGTCTCGCATATTTTCCATCACGAAGAATTATTGAAATTATAAATTTTATTGAAAAATTCGGAATTCTTGAGATCACTCCGTTTTTATTGTATTTGCAACTATTTATATTTCATGGCGTCGTCGAACTTGTAAATATTTCCGATATTTTCATTATATTATTGATCAAACTCCTTCCCCGCGTTTCGCGTACTTTTTTCTTTTTTCTTTCTTTTTATTCGTGGAAAGAGGATGGTGGAAAATGTGCATCGACCGTGTTAAAAAATTATTCGACAGCATTTTTCTACTATTATCACTGTCGAAATGATAGGGGGAAATTAATAGAATTTCGTTTTAAATCATACAGTGTCTGAAATAAATAAATAATTCACATATGACACATTTTCATCCCAATAACTGCAAAATTTAAAAAATGGAACATTTTGTTCTTAACCGATAATCTAGAATTGTAGATCAATATTTTACATTATCGATTATATATATTTGCTCGTTGACGTTCTTTACTTTCGTGGATGTCACGAATTCATCACACAATGAACTCATATTTTTACTGAAATATTTGCTTTGTACCAATGTATTGAAACATCAAATGTACCATTTAAGGATAAACTAATGGTTATGAATAATTACGTAATAATTTTACAGAAAAATTGTGAAGTATGTCAACCCATAATGAAAGTAAAAACAACGACGATTTTCAAATAATATAAGTCCCAGTTTACAAAGAAGAGGAGGGAACTAATGAATAATCTCTATGGGTACTACAATTAGTGAATTAACTACCTACTAGATGACTGTATAGTCCGAAATAAATAAATGGAAAGATCTATTGTACATATAAAGTTATTATCTATTCTATTGACTATTTCCCTGCTTTTATTTTATTCTTCCAAGCATTCATTCCTTGTCGTATAGATACTATAAGCTTTTAAGTTCAGCAGTACCTGATTGATTACTGTATCATAATTACAAATCCGGTATCATAAATAGGATTCGAAGAATCCAACTTTATATCTGGAGAGAGAAGGCCAAGAACCACATGGAGCTTTTAATCTATTCTCGTCGCGACGATGCGAACATATAGGTAGAAATGGAGTGCAAGATCTCCTCGAACATTCCGGAATCTTCTTTCAAGCTATACTTTTTGGAAAGGTATGCCAGGGTCGGACACGATTACCATATAACGAGATCATTTGATACATTCCGTCCTGACCCTGTCCTAGCCGAATGAAGGATGAATGCCACTCACAGAATCTACAATTTGTAGGTTGGCATCATGAATAGGTAAAAATGTCCGCGAAAGGGTTTGTAAATCGGAATGGATATTATTTTTGCGTATTATTTTCGTTGCCATATTACCAAAAATAAAGATCTTTAAGGATATTACAACTTATGGACGTGTTATGATAATTAGTTTATGTATAGCTGTTACTAATTCGGAATCGAATATTAATTATCAATTATTGAAATTTATTGAGCACAATATTTTGACAGTACTGTTGTAAAACGTATTAGCGTGTTCAGAATTAAATGTCAATTATTTAATATATATGCTTATTTTTATAAGGTCAATGTTAAGTTATTACTTTTATGAAGATTTCCTTTGTAATATTAATATGCGAGCCG